GGTCTTCGATCGAGTGAATTCTCATCAGCTTCACGTCATCTGCAAATAGGGACACCACAGAGTCTATTCCTTCCGTCATGTCGTTCACAAATACCAGAAACAGCACTGGTCCTAGGACTGACCCCTGTGGGACCCCGCTGGTCACAGGTGCCCACTCTGACACCTCGCCACGTACCATGACTCGCTGCTGTCTTCCTGACAAGTATTCCCTGATCCATTGTAGTGCCTTCCCTGTTATCCCTACTTGGTCCTCCAGTTTTTGCACCAATCTCTTGTGTAGTACTGTGTCAAACGCCTTCTTGCAGTCCAAGAATATGCAATCCACCCACCCCTCTCTCTCTTGTCTTACTGCTGTCACCATGTCATAAAGCTCCAGTAGGTTTGTGACACAGGATTTTCCATCCCTGAAACCATGTTGGCTGCTGTTGATGAGATCATTCCTTTCTAGGTGTTCCACCACTCTTCTCCTGATAATCTTCTCCATGATTTTGCATAATATACATGTCAGTGACACTGGTCTGTAGTTTAGTGCTTCACGTCTGTCTCCTTTTTTAAAGATTGGGACTACATTTGCTTTCTTCCATGCCTCAGGCAATCTCCCTGTTTCGATAGATGTATTGAATATTGTTGTTAGGGGTACACATAGCGCCTCTGCTCCCTCTCTCAGGACCCATGGGGAGATGTTGTCTGGCCCCATTGCCTTTGAGGTATCTAGCTCACTCAGAAGCCTCTTCACTTCTTCCTCGGTTGTGTGCACTGTGTCCAGCACTTGGTGGTGTACCCCACCTCTACGTCTTTCTGGAGTCCCTTCTGTCTCCTCTGTGAACACTTTGAATCTCTTGTTGAGTTCCTCACATACTTCACGGTCATTTCTTGTCTCTCCTCCTTCCTTCCTTAGCCTGATTACCTGGTCCTTGACTGTTGTTTTCCTCCTGATGTGGCTGTATAACAGTTTCGGGTCAGATTTGGCTTTCGCTGCTATGTCGTTTTCATATTGTCTTTGGGCCTTCCTTATCTGTGCATATTCGTTTCTGGCTCTACGACTGCTCTCCTTATTCTCCTGGGTCCTTTGCCTTCTATATTTCTTCCATTCCCTAGCACACTTGGTTTTTGCCTCCCTGCACCTTTGGGTGAACCATGGGCTCATCCTGGCTTTTTCATTATTCCTGTTACCCTTGGGTACAAACCTCTCCTCAGCCTCCTTGCACATTGTTGCTACATATTCCATCATCTCATTAACTGGCTTCCCTGCCAGTTCTCTGTCCCACTGAACCCCATTCAGGAAGTTCCTCATTCCCGTGTAGTCCCCTTTCTTGTTGTAGTTTGTAGTTTGTAGTTTGTAGTTTGTAGTGTGTGTGTGTGTGTGTGTGTGTGTGTGTGTGTGTGTGTGTGTGTGTGTGTGTGTGTTAGTTACCATTTGGTCCTAGGCACATGTCGATTAGACACTAGGCCTGTTGTATATGTGTGTGCATGTGTGTGTGTGTGTGTGTGTGTGTGTGTGTGTGTGTGTGTGTGTGTGTGTGTGTGTGTGTGTGTGTGTGTGTGTGTGTGTGTGCGCGTGTGTGTGTGTGTTGTGTGTGTGTGTGTTGTGTGTGTGTGTGTTGTGTGTGTGTTGTGTGTGTGTGTGTGTGTGTGTGTGTGTTGTGTGTGTGTGTGTGTGTGTGTGTGTGTGTGTGTGTGTGTGTGTGTGTGTGTGTGTGTGTTGTGTGTTTCGAAATTCACTGTATGTGGCAGGATGTGATAAAACAACTTATCACTAGCCTGGTGTCCCGAGGTATGGAGAGTGACCGTCTGGCTTGGGCTAGGCGCCCATACATATCTGGGATCTGGCTGAGTGGAGAAAGTACTGTGCACCTTGATACACTGTGCAGGTCCGAATCCTGCTGTGGACTGAGATATAATGTTTGTTCAAGAGGTTCGAACCGGGGTCCTGAGATTGACAGACCCAGCTCACTACCGCTTCGACTACAGTAGATGTTTATTACAACTTAATCTGACTTCACACACACACACATATAATATATATATATATATATAATGATGCCTTAATGCTGGTGCAAGGCTCTTGATCCATGGAAGTGAAGCAACCTTCAGATTCCTCGGAACAGACCTGCTTCCCATTCCCCAGGTACTGTATGACCCTGATGGGACTGACACTTCCCGGTAACAAGAAAAACAATAACAACAACATTTCACTATTAATGAACTTCAGCGACTTATTAAAGAGTTGCAGCTTAAGCTTCACTAAGCTCCTCTTTTGTAAGCTTTAAGTTCCCATGAAAACTTGCCGGCCCACTTGTCCTTCCCTCCCACTTCCCCTCGCCTCCCCTCCTCTCCTCTTCCCTCCTCTCGTCTCCCCTCCCCTCCTCTACTCTCCCCTCCTCTCGTCTTCCCTACCCTCCTCTCCTTTCCCTCCTCTCCTCTCCCCTCCCCTCCTCGCCTCTCCTCTCCTCTCCTTTTCTTGTCTCTCCCCTCCCCTCCTCTCCCTCCCCTCCTCTCCTCTCCCCTCCCATCCAGGAAAACAAGTTAGCTAAATTTATTTTTAGCAAGGCACGGCAAGGTTGGGTTAGTTAAGCTAGGTTAAATTAGCTTAGGTAACGTTAGGTTAGGCTAGAAAGGTTGGATTAGGTTTGGCAAGGTTAGGTTAGGTAAGACATGTCCAACAATTAGGTATCTTTATTACGAATGTCCTCCGTACCAAGATACCGTTGTGTTGCAGTGTCTGGCAATGTAAATATGATAATGGTACACAATACCGACAAGTTGATCAAGACACATGTGCAACACTAGCAGGCTAGGCTAGGCTAGGCGAGGCTAGGCGAGGCTAGGTGCAAGAAAACACAACAAACGGTGGATCTATATATTTCAGAATTAACCTTCACGGGAGGAAAGAGATTTAATCTTGAGGCGATGTCTGCTTGTTTGTGAAGCTTGTTTGACAAGCTTGTTTGTGAAGCATGTTTGTCAAGCTTGTTTGTGAAGCATGTTTGTGAAGCTTGTTTGTGAAGCACGTTTGTCAAGCTTGTTTGTGAAGCTTGTTTGATAAGCTTGTTTGTGAAGCATGTTTGTCAAGCTTGTTTGTGAAGCATGTTTGTCAAGCTTGTTTGTTAAGCACGTTTGTCAAGCTTGTTTGTGAAGCATGTTTGTCAAGCTTGTTTGTGAAGCATGTTTGTCAAGCTTGTTTGTTAAGCACGTTTGTCAAGCTTGTTTATGAAGCATGTTTGTCAAGCTTGTTTGTGAAGCATGTTTGTTAAACTTGTTTGTGAAGCATGTTTGTCAAGCTTGTTTGTGAAGCACGTTTGTCAAGCTTGTTTGTGAAGCACGTTTGTCAAGCTTGTTTGTGAAGCACGTTTGTCAAGCTTGTTTGTGAAGCATGTTTGTCAAGCTTGTTTGTGAAGCACGTTTGTCAAGCTTGTTTGTGAAGCATGTTTGTTAAGCATGTTTGTCAAGCTTGTTTGTCAAGCTTGTTTGTGAAGCACGTTTGTCAAGCTTGTTTGTGAAGCATGTTTGTCAAGCATGTTTGTCAAGCTTGTTTGTGAAGCATGTTTGTCAAGCTTGTTTGTGAAGCATGTTTGTCAAGCTTGTTTGTGAAGCGTACTTTTTTTTATGACTATTAATCTCGGGGATTCCACCAGTATCTTCCTGTGCAGCCGTGCATCACGCTACACTCAACCTCGCTACAAAACACTGAGAACCTCGTAACTCAGTTCAGACGCTGGCCGAGCCAACAACTTCTGGAGAAATCTGTTGACGTGAAGCTACGTGGCGGTAAATCTGTACGTGGGTGTTAGCAGACTGTTTTGGGTACCGCATACTGGGACCCGATGAACCCAAATGGAAATAAGACAATGATTTCTTAGATTATCTCGGGATAACAGCCCTCCAGGGGGATGTGTTAACCCAGGATAATTTAATAGTTGAAGAGGCAGCTTCCTCTGTTGTGTATAAAGGTCGCCGGTGGAGCAATAACTCCATCTCTGAAGCTTTAACTCTGGTGGGAGGAAAGCTTTGAAGCTTTAGCTGTGCTAGAAGCAAATCTATGAAGTTTCAGCTCTGCTGGAAGCAAGTCTATAAAGCTTCAGCTCCGCTGGAAACCAGTCTATGAAACTTCGGCTCTGCTGGAAGCCAGTCTATAAAGCTTCAGCTCTGCTGGAAGCCCGTCTATGAAGCTTCAGCTCTGCTGGAAGCCCGTCTATGAAGCTTCAGCTCCGCTGGAAGCAAGTCTATGAAGCTTCAGCTCTGTTGAAAACAAGTCTATGAAACTTCAGCTTTGCTGGAAGCAAGTCTATGAAGTTTCAGCTCTGCTGGAAGGAAACCTTTAACTCTAGCGGCAGGAATTTTTTTTAGCCTTCAACGCTGCTGGAAGAAAACCTAATCTTCAGTGGCAACTGAAATCACAGTGAAATCTCGACATCCTCACTGAAACCTCAGCTAAAGTTGACAGATTTAAGTACTTCTCAAATGCACCCCATCCTATATGATGGACTATGACAGGGAAACAAAACTAACTCTGATTCTCAGTCTAACTCTCAGTGTAGCAACACACTGCTGATGTACTCAATGTAGAAGTACTGAAGGTAGAAGTACTAAAGGTAGAAGTACTAAAGGTAGAAGTACTAAAGGCAGAAGTACTAAAGGTAGAAGTACTGAAGGTAGAAGTACGGAAGGTGCCCCGTGGCCTGGTGGCAAAAGCTCTCGCTTCGCACGGTGAGGGTTCGGATTCGATTCCCGGCGAAGGGGAGGAAACATCGGAGGTGTTTCCTTACACCGGTGGTCTATGTTCACCCATCAGTAAAATGGGTACCTGGGTGTGAGTCGACTGGTGTGGGTCGCATCCTGGAAAAAAACTGACCTAATTTGCCCGAAATGTTCACCATAACAAGAGGCTTTCTGTACAGTAGTGTGTCACTGATGTCAGTTAGGCTTGTATACCTTGTACATGTACTTGTAGTATATAAAGATATTATTATTGTATTATTATTATAAGTTGAAGTACTGACCTTCTAGAGCCGAAGAAGGGCCATGGGTTGTCGTGTGGTAACCTGAGAGGTGAGCCTGGCACCGGGGCAGGGAAGCCAGGGGGCGGCGGTGGCCCGGGGGGCGGTGGCGGGGGCACGTGTAGGGCCATGGGCGGCGGGGGCGGGGGCACAGCAGGAGGGGGTGGACCCATCAGGGCACCCAGGGGGCGCACTCCCCCGGGGAGCGTGGAGTAGGGGGGCGGCACGTGGGAGTGAAGCAGGTCAGGCAGGTGGGCATCGTGGGCGGCGGTGGGTGGCGGGTTGGTTTCCCCCAGGTCGGTCTGGCCGTGGGCGGCCCCTGAACGATGGGCGCGACGCTCCCGCCGCTCCCGGCGGCGCTCCCGACGGCGCTCCCGTTCACCCCGTCGCGCCTCCAGCTGCTGTTGCTGCTGTTGGTGCTGCTGCAATTGCTGCTGCTGCTGTTGTTGTTGATGTTGCTGCTGCAGCTGCTGCTGTTCCTGCCCCTGTTGCTGTTGTGGCTGCTGCTGTAGTACCTGCCCCTGCGGCGGCAGCTGCGGCGGCTGCGGCTGCTGCTGCTGCGGCAGGTGCAGCAGTGGGTGGTGCAGGTAGAGGCGCTGCTGCTGCTGCACCGCCTCCCCCTGACTGCTGGGTCTGGCTAGGCCAGGTCTGGGTGGCCTAGGGGCGGGTCTTGGGGCTGCTGGCTGACTGCCTCTGGCCTGATGCGTGGGCGTGTCGTGCCCACTAATGCTGGGCGTGGGCGTAGGCGTGGGCGTGGGTACAATCCTGACACTGGACACTTTAGTGAGTGCACTGACGGTGGGTGCGGGCGTGGGCGCCGCACAGAACACAACACTAGATACACTGCTGGTAGGGGCACCGCTCCTAGACACTCGGGCACTGGCGGGCATCCTGGTTGTACCCGCAACGGATACACTAGTGGCAGCGGAGGGCCGCGTGCCTCCCCCTGCCTCCACCATGGTCTCTCTCACACTGCCTCTCTCACCCCCACACACCTCCCTCCCACACGCCGTTTTCTTCGAGGCGCTAGTTTTCTGCGGCGTGCCGCAGGGCGAGCCTTCAACCCCGACTGATTTAAACTGCACATTCACTGTTTCTGTTCTTTCCTCTACCTTCCCAGCATCTCCCACGTCCTTTTTCTCCGTCTTTCCACCTGTGTTGCCTTTTCTGCACTTGTCTGCCGCGTGTCGTGTCTGGTCGCTAGTGAACACAACGTTGTGGGTCGTGTTGTCGTCACTGACCTGGATGACACTCACACTGCCGCCAAGCTTGGCCTGCTGGGATAAGCTGGAACGATGGGCGTGGGTGCTGAGCACGGGCGTGGGCGGCAGGGACTTGGGCTGCCTGCACAGGGACGACAGGACGTGTTCCTCAGGGAACAGTGTTCGTCCCTGCACACTCATCAGGGGGCGTCGACACCCTGCTTTCACCTCCCCCAGAGACTCCAAGTCGAACCCTACATTGTCGAAGCCTCCTCCTCCGCCGCCGCCGCCGGAGCCGCTGGCAGTGACGCGGTTGACCGCGGGTGTGGGAGGCAGGTGGCGGAGCAGGAGGGCGGCGTCCAGTGAGAAAGGACCCTCCCTGGCAGGATCCAGCAGTCCCACGCGGGAGATCCTATGATGATCAGTCATGGTGGTGGGTGATGATTCTTCCTACTCACTCCTTGTTGCCCATCACTTTCACGCCGCCCACAACACCTGCAACATTACAAACACTGGTTATAACAGCACTTGCAACATCACTCAGGTTATGACAACACCTGGAACATCACAAACACAGGTTATAACAACACACGACTCATAACACGATATTATTACAACTGTAACCTGATTAATGACATGCAGTTAGAAAAATAATTAGGTCTATCTATATGAGCTTGCAATATACTGTCTGCCAGCCGAGTTGCAATTACGATAATTAAATTATTCCAATTAGATCTCAAAAAAGTGGTGTTGCCAGTTGCCACAAGAAACCATTTATAATGCTCGGTATTATTATTATTATTATTATTTGTTGTAGTATTAGTATAAGAACCAACCTAAGTGACAACAGTAGTATGAATAGAAGAAGAATTAGTTTTAGTTGTAATAGTATTAGTAATGATAGACGCAGAAACAGAAACAACAGCAGCAATAAAAATAATAGTAGCGTATTAGTAATAGTAGAGATAGTACTAGAAGCAGAAGAAGAACAAGTAGTAGTAGTAAGTAATTTGTGTAGACTATTAACACCATCTCTATATCTCACATCATCCCAGGTCTTTCAAGAAAGCTCAATCAATCAATCAAGTTTATTCTCAGGTTCGGGGCTCCTAAGTCTTAGTGTGAAACATTACTTATACAGTAGATTAATTCTCTCATATTTCTACGTATGTTCCCAAGTATATTTATATCCATACCAGTATAGTACAGGGATGGTAGAAGGTACAGACACCGACAATATGGATGCATAGACAGAGGTGCATGTATTTAGGATATCTTTATTGAATACCTTTCAGTTCTGAAATTTTGGTCAATCCAGATGATACAAGAGAATGAGAAAACAATATATGTAGTGGCGAATGTATGTAACTAATGAAGGCGTCAGGTTATCTAACTGCCCTGTCACCTGGCAGTAAAGAATCAACGTGGAGCAGTATTTTACTTGCAGTGGTGGCTGAGATGATGTATTGTTTTAACGTGTTGGAAGTAGTAATTAAGAATGACTCAGTACCGTGGCGCCCATCCCTGATGGATTCTTTGTAGATCATTTCTGCTTTGTTGCAGTGCATCAGATGGCTTCCTTTAACTCTATGTAAAACTGCTTGTGTTGCACGTTTATGGAAAGATTCCTTCCAAGTTCTACGTAGATCTCGTTGCAGCCTCAACATGGTACAGTATATGCTCCTGCTTCACTCTAGTTTGTTATAGGAATCTTTCTAGCGGATGAGGTCTCTGATTGAAGACGTGATCATGGCAGCGATGCGGATGTTACTTTTAGAAAAGGCCCTCAGGGTGGTGTTGTCTACTTCTCGTCCAATCAGAGTAAAAGATGTGAGTTTCTCATTGGTGGCAATGTTGGCAGAGAAAAGTATAGAAACGAGGGACGTGCAAGTGTATGAAGCTACGGGTGATGTACTGGAATTTTAAGAATTTTCATGCACTGGAACAAAATAAAAATAATCGACAGAGAATCCAACAAAGATACGCATCACTTTATTGAAGCATCTTTAAGGGGCACGTCAGTTACTCTGTCTTCTAATGATATGTTATTTTTCCCATATAATTTACCTTGTCCATAATTACTATTACATTTGCGTTGTCTGCTTTCGCAAGGTGAAATCTAGGATCTTTCCTTAATTCAGTTGTGTCGTATAAGTATGAGCGAGAAAGATCCTAGACTTCACCTTACGAAAGCAAACAAAGCAAATACGATGTTAATTATGGACAAGGTAGATTATTAGGGGAAAAATAAACATGGTATTAGGAGACAGGGAAACTCACGCGCCTCTTAAGTGGTACTTCCGACACCGTTGAACAGAGGGTTGGCAAGTGCATAATGTCAAGTACTGTTGCACATTAGATACTACTGATTCCTGCTGCCTCGTGACAAGACAATTAAATGACCTGACACCTTCACCTGACCTACACCAGTGATATGCATTTTCCCTATATATACTAAGTTTTCTAATTTTCTTGCATTATTTAAAGTGACTTAAACATTGCAGTCCCACTACTGCAATGTGCTCAACAATGGTGTGTACTTTCATCCATATTATCAATATTAATATACCTTCTATCTTTGTCAGACACTGCGTCACAGAATATCTTTCTCTTCTGCTGAAGACAGTCATCGTAGTCGATAACAGGTTTCTTCCGTTGAATATAAGTGAGTCTTATACTGGAGATATTATAAGACAATAAGACCGCATTGCCGAGATGGTCATCCCAGATCCACACTACAGTTGACATCTCAAGATCCCGTCTTGCTTGCTGAATAAGAAGGCATCGTCATCGTAGGCGGACCCGCTAGAAGTAGTTGAAGCATCGTCACCGTTGTTCTGCCTGCGGTGACGATACCTTCCACTCCTGCACCTCACTTGACTAATGTATAAGCAACCATCTTCCTGCCTCAACTTCAGATTCGTCAAGATTACGGCTAAGGGATTGATTACCTCGTCTTCTACTGTCTCCAGTCTCAACACCTCCAATACCTGTGTAATGAACTGATGCGAAAATAAACTGCTTGGGGAAACGTCTTCAGAATAAAGATACACAGGTGTTGCACATGTATCTTATTCATCATCTTGTCGGTAATGCATACCATAACTGTTACCATGCCCTTCTCGCTCGGTGTCAGTGCCTTCCTCGAAGAGCAGAACTATGACAGTCTCAGAGAGGTGTGTGTACGCACCACCACACTCCTTGCCACTCTTCTTTCTCCAGACTTCCGCTCAGCTGAGACAGTTCTCAGCAAAACCACTATCGCTAATCTACAACAAAGACTAAAATTCAAAAGCAAACTGCAATTCTTGTGCACTAGTAGCAAATGCAGCCAGAGATAGTTAAAACTTTATCCTCACACACTCTTTTACAGAAACTGAAGCTTTCAATTTGGATCTAAAGTTTTCGGGAAGGAGGGGAATACATATGCAAAGAGGTGGCTATGACTGAAAGGTGTGCGTGTGGCCTATCTTCAGTCTACAAAGATTCGTCTTAGAGTGACGACTGCTGATGAAGGAGGAGGGCCAAACACCCATATCCTGCTAAACTCTGTATTACTTGCTCCTAGTACACAGGGCCCACCGGGTCTGCCACTTAGCAAGAATATTTCTGTGGATATGTCCCATGAAGTCGATGTAAGGTAAAAATATTAAAAGGAGCGGAGAGGTTACATAAAACCTTCCTCATTTCCAGCACGACACTCGCACCAAGAGAGGCGTGGTCATCATTTTTTCAAAAAGCTATACCTTTCTCCAGTTCCAAATTCTTCGAGGAATTCCAGTACATCACCTACGCCTTCATATGCTTACACTTCCCTCCCTATTTTATATAAGATTACAAACAAAGAGCTCTACCAACACCACCACCACTAACAAACCCAGAATCTCAAATTATAATTTGAGAAGTGGCCAGCATCACCATGTAGGAGTAGCTGCCAAATAGCTGCCGTGGCTACGTCTTCTATTGGAGACTTCATCAAGAAGAAAGATTCCCTTGACAAACCCAACAATGAAGCAGGAGTGTGCACTATACCATGCTGAGGCTGCAACAAGAGCTCGTGTGGAAGGAATCTTTCCAAACGAGTTCAAAAAGACAAAAAGAAGTGTCGCTTGGACGTTAGCAACACCTGTATCTTACACAAATCTAAAGAGGGTCATCTCGTGTACTGGGACACACGTATCATCTCATCTGTTCTTGCGCACCCTAAGATATCGCTTTACACTGATTCCCTGCTGCCAGGAGACACGGCTATTAGATGACCTTACACCTTCACCTGAACTTCACTAATGACTTGCATTCTCTACCGTGTTTCCTCACTCTCTAGTATCACTTGGAATGTCCATTATGGTTACTGGTTGAAAACTTATCCAATAAAACTGCCTTAAGCCATATACCTCTGGACAACAGGTCAGTTAGAATTGCCTCGACTGGAAATGTAAAAGAATCCTCTCTCCATTTCTATCACTTCTGACGCAGTTTTTTTTATGTAAAATATAACTATTATTTTGTAGTTACTGTAAATTCAATTCATTATCTGAGAAGACACATGGCTAATACTTGACAGCCTAAGTCCACAAAGTGTCAAATGCAAGTCCCTACACACATCCATGTTAAGTTCACAAACCGGCCATATAAATCTACAAAGTGTTCCCTGTAAGATGGACACTGTAATACACGAGAGAGGTTGGGTGACTGATATACTTGTTTATGACAGTGAAAGTCAATAGAACAGTGACGTATCTTGTGAAATTCTGATAATTTCATTATATGCCCCTCTAGTTCCCGTGCTCCTTTTGACCTCGTTTCCATAAGTTAAATTGGGTTGAACTACGTCAGAACCTTTCTAGAGGAAACTGGACTACTACCTCCTCTAAGTGGCAAATCAGCTGTGCTCCTAGCAACAACAGCCTGGTTGACCAAGCCAGCAACAAGGTAGCGTGGTCTCATGCCAAGGTAAGGGGTAAAGGAACATCCCAAACTGGTCACAGGTATATATGTACCCTCCCCTAGTACCTCAGCCAAGCTGAACCGAGGGAAGTAGTGAATGTGATAGAAATGGTTGATAAATAAGCCCCATTTGCAACACTTGGGTATCTTCTTTGTTGCCAAAACGTTTCGCCTGCACAAGAAGCTTCTTCAGTTGAACAGAGGTGAACACAATACTGGAAGCAGTAGAAACAGTTCTGACGTGATGAATCCGTCACTCTTGGTGATAGTGGTCAGTCCATTAAGTCTGAAGTGCAGGCACATAAGTGGCCAGACCTTATATATCAGAGTAGAAACGAGATGAAGCAGCTGTAGTTGAGGTTACATGTGAGCGTGGCCCACTGAAGACACCCAAGTGTTGAGTGTGTCTTATCAACTTGTCTGCACTGCACCATCAGTAATTAGCTGTGTTAGAGAGGGTAATCATCACATCTAGTAGATTTAGACCCAAGTTGATCACTAACTAATATTTAAGTTGGCCAGCCTTGGATGGTTATACCTATGTC